AGATATACTTAAGTAGTATAATGAAGTTGGCTAAGTCGGTGGCCTCATCACTAAGCATCGACACTACAGAGCTCTATCGTCACGGGAGGGAGCGCAGCCGCCTCGCGAAGAAAACCACTGACATGCCCCATATTAATATATTTGTACTACCACTGCATATAACGACCGCTGCATATAACGACCGATTTTGCCCAGCCCGAGGCGGTCATTATAAGAGAGTTGACTGTACATGGTGTGGTAGTAATGGAGAAAAGCCATTAACTAGTAAAGTTGCCGGAAAGAAGTTGGGATTGAACGAAAACAGGTACAAATTAATGGAAGGGGAATGGGTGTATATCCTTGACCGATCTAAAATCGTGAATAAATTACGTGAAACAATAGGTAAAATCAAAGAATTTTCTGACATCCCCCATGATAACTCATTCACTAATATTTCCACGGATGTTCCCATATTTGACGTACCAGCAATCGCAACACCTCAATCAGAAAAAATAGAATCAGCTACATCCGATCTATTACACGCTGTTATAGATGAGATACAAGAGCAAGTAAATGTACCAGCATCTAAAAGATCTGACGTAATCAAAACTTCCGATATTGGTAATTCCGTCAGGCGCATAGCGCTCTGCGTAGCAGATAATAAATTCAAACTCTCCCAAAATCCATCCATAAACATCAATCTATCGAAGTAACTACATCCCAGAGCCTCCAGGGTATCTAACCCGAGAACAACGTGAGAAACGTCTCAGACAATGGGCCATCGATCACGGTGAAGACCCCGATAAATTTATGACAATAACCGAGAAAGATTGTATTCTTGGTGGGGGATATAATGAGGCATATTTTGTATGGTCTACCTGCTTATGCATGTGTTAAATTGGTTCCACTTGAAATAACAGATGAGACCATGATTTATATTATGCCGAGGTAAACTATTTACTTATGCGTCATGTTTATTGAATAGTTTAAATAATTATTGACTTTTATGTGTCTTACGTGATAAGCATCCAGATATTCTTACCACGGATGTTTGGATTACCATCGGATTCACATATGATGAACAGAAGTATTGTCTAATAAAGGAATATAACGGGTATGAATTATGTCTAGCTTGTACGAAGCAATTCACATGCACTATTGGTCAGGTTTATACGAAATAATAAACGTGTAAAGTACATGCAGTATAGCGACTTTGATGAAATTAAGGAGATTGGATCTGGTGGTTATGGAACAGTTTATACTGCCAAATGTAAAGGCAGGCCTATGAAGGAAACTGTTGTACTCAAACGGTTTAAGAATTTTGATAAAACACCGGAATTATTTATTTCCGAGGTAAGCAATAATTGGTAGCATTAAAGTGACATTAGTAATATTTAATCTGCCACGGGATTTATTTTTATTTAATAGTTCAGAAACGCACAGTGATACTTTCCTTCAAATTTATGGAGTCACACAAGACTCAGAAACAAAAGAGTATATGATTGTTATGCAATATGCTAACAATTGCCTTATTTGGATCAAAATCAACGTGGAAGAAGAAGTTACAGCATTTGCAATGTATCTGAATCATATTCGTCGAGTGGGTTTAGTGCATTGTGATCTTCATGGCGGAAACATTGTTTTGCATAACCACGAAACCGCAAAAGATTTCCAATTAAGCAAACCATTCATATGCGATCTTGGTCTCTCCCGATCAGTGGATTCACGCGAGTCAAATTCAACCATTCAAGGTGTTTTACCCTTTATTGCACCGGAAGTCTTCCATACCCGCAAATTTACGAAGAACTCCGATGTGTATTCTTTTGGTATCATTATATTTGATGGCCACTGCTTTTAGAGATAGGCAGTTCGATGGAGATTTAGAATGCAACATAATGGGCGGACTGCGACCATCGATGCCTGATTCCGAATACAAGAAACTTGCCGAGCGGGATAAACCATCATCCATCGAAGATCTATCACCACATAGCCTTGACGTGTAACGATGCAAGTTTAACGGTGTCCAACCAACTTGCCATACGAAATCATATCAACCATGCGAAATAACGTTTGATTTGCTCCATTCCCAACCTGTCTGAGCATATACTAGCTAATTGCAACAATAATCTCTCGAATCGAAGAAGCATTTATCCGCTTTGTGGTCCACCTGCAATCTGCCTTTTTCCTCTGAATAAAGTCGGATACATTCCATAGTAATAGCTGTAAGACTAATATTCAAATCACCCGTCCGTTGCCCAAATAGACCAATTGTATTGATGCATTGCTTTAAGCATTCGGGTGACAAGGCAAGAAATAGGAAAGGCGACGCAAACAGGTCCCGACGACTTTGTGAATTCAAAGAAACTAGCCGTGTTTTTGGAATGGAAAGGCAATCATCAATGGTGAAGTGAATGTCGAAGTCATATGGAAGAAACATTATTACTTTGAGCTCTTTACCGGACATAACTTCTCCAAATTGTCGGTCGCGAACAGTACTTGAAGGCAAACCTCCACGAGTTGGGGTATCTGATTCAGGATGTAGTATGAGTACCACGAATGAAGAAATGGGCGCCTGACGAAGAGAACGAGCGGCTTGAGATCTCCAAGGAAGAAAGTTTCTGAAGGACTGTTTCCCTGAGAAACTGGAAGAATTACTGAGAAAGTATTGCTAGACTCAGAAATAGATCAACGAGAAATAGATCAACAAGAACTTCCGGCTATTACGTGCCATCAAAAGGGGAAGACAAAATTGACGCGGTGGCGGCTTCTTCTGAATCACGAGCGCAACACCGGAAGAAGCATCGACGCCGACAGAAAAAACAACAGTAGCGTGCTTCTCAGAGGAATGCAAGCGTCCATGAGTTCTCTTCGACACGTTCAAAGTCGCCAGTATCTCCTCCTTCGTCGTCATCGGCGTTGGCGTTTTCACCTGCACTTGATCGGCTCCGACGGTATATCGTGTGTGTTTCATACAAATAATTGTAACGTATTGGAAGCAGCTCAAAAGTTGTACGACAACTCGCCAGTGGCTGTCAAGCAAGAATCAATCCGATCAGTTGAGTACTCGTGAACTAGAGAAAGCGATCGATCTAATGCTCCCCATCACCGATGATGATACTGATACCAAAAATGTCCCCGGGTCATTAACGCACCTCCAGTAACATCAATGTCGAAGATAGCCCAAACCCTCTGTGGTGATCGATCCCAAGCCAAAGTCTTAGTCTTTTTCCGATTCACCTAGCCGATTAAATCCAAAGGCAGTGAAGAGGTTGCATCTTACAAAGGGATGCCCTCTCCAGGGCACAGTGGGAGGAAAATGAGCTGTTGACCACGGTGAAGATCCAGGCGTATTCGTGACTATCATAGAGGACATCGACCTATCCCAAATGTTACAAAACATGATGTCAGATACGGAGCTAGAAGGGAAGATTAGTCTATGATGAAGAATGGCCAAACCCTGGTGGTATGTCTTTCATGTACCTTTGTTTTATTTTGTTATCTGTTGTGTTTTTATAATGCTCATCGTTTTATGTTCTGGCCCGTTGCGAAATTCAGCCCGATTCAAAATCGGGCTGGCCCAGTTCGAAATATAAACAATGTTAATTAGATGTCGCTTATTGTGATATTAGACAGTGTGCCTATTGCGAATCGGGCTGGATTTCGCAACAGGCCAGAACATTTACATGGAATTGGCTGAAACCAATCAAAAATTTTATTAACTACAAGGTGGGTTTGAATATGTTCGTAATGGTGACGGGAAACTTTGAGAAAAGCTAGGGATACAATCACTATTTTCCGTATAGTTGGAGGCCATCTGGGCGCATGACTCTTGACTATGATACATAATGAAGAAGTTACTACCCTATATCTATTCTGCGAGATTGCTATTCCTTAAAAAAGATGAGATTGCTACCCCTCCTCTGATTATTATTGCGACTTAGGACGGTACCGGTTACTATTACTGACGAAACCGCCGTCCAAGCCGTCAAGATAGCATAATTGCGATACTTGATCTCGTATGCCTCGAGGGTAAGTTTGATTTCGTTACTTTGAGCATCATTCGCTATTTGTATTGCATCCTTTAAAGTTAGCTCGATTTTAGTTTTATCCCACTCGGCCAGTGTTTTTTGGCATTTGTAGAATATTTTCTAGAACCTAAATAGACAAATAAACGATAAACATTATAAAACACTATACGAAAGACGCACCGCCAGGGGACATACGTAATGCTTACCGTCACTTTCAAATAGAAGAAATCGCGATTCCTTATCCCATCGCAGTCTTTCTTGACGCCATTTGAAGCGCTTTTTTCTATTACTCTCAGAAACCAGAGGCTTTCTCTGACCAACACGACCATAATAGCCATGTTCATGAAGAACACGTCTCGCAGTAATTGTACTTGGCTCAGTTAATCCCAAGTTGTTAAATTTCTCAGTTATTTCGTCCGCGGAATCCTTTCTATTAGCAACAGCAGTGCGAATAAAATGGCGTTTATCGATTGCCTTCAAAAGGGGCGGCCTCCCGCTACGAGGGTTGGGAATTACGGTTTTATCTTTTTCAAACTTTTTTATTACACTACCCTACCATAAATCACCGGATTTTTTGTCACGTGTTTGAAATAGATATGAAATTTTTGTATTTTCTAAG